TTGAAATACTTCTTTATAATAACTGCGTGCGGTATTTACAAAGTTTACCGAATGTTATTATATTTGCGTTCACACTTTCAGTTCTTGTTAACGTTTCTGAGAGTGAGTGCGTTGCGGAACTGTCACGCGTGAGTTGTGCCCCTTCAAAGAAGCAATAAATTGAAGAATCATTGTGTTATTGTTAATGCGCCGTTGTGTTATTTTGAATTGAACTTTACGCTCACAAGAGACTCTAGTTCACGTGCGCACACATATTGAGGTTTGAAGACAATTTTTTTTAAGTAAACCCAATAAACTGCAACAGAAATTTAACATGCGCATATCAAATATAATAAAGTAATTATCATTATAATTTATATATATTTAATTTAGGTAATAATAAGGTAATTGTCATTACATACACTTTATATATACGAAGGGGGATCAAATATAAACGAGCCTTTTGCAAAAAAACCATATATTTTTCTAAATTAATTCTAATTTATATTTGTCTTATTTTCTACATAGTCCCCCATCTTATCTTCACACTTCCCCCAACGGTCTGGAAATTTTTTAATCCCGGTATCATAAAAAGTTCGCGGACGTGTATCAAACTAATTGCACACGAACTGNTTGTGAAACGCTGTCCATCAAGGGCTTCCTTGAGTGGCACAAACATATGGAAGTCGCATGGTGACAAGTCTGTGGTGTAGAGTGGATATTCTAAGACAACCCAGTGCATATCGGCCAATTTTTGTTGTGTTACTGCTGCGGTGTGGGGTCTGGCGTTGTCATGGAGAAGCAACACACTTCTGATCGGAATGCCACGCCTTTTCGACCGATAGCTCGAACTGAAGTTCCTGAGAGATTTCAAAAACAGTTAAGTGCCGATTGTCTTCGATGAGTTCTTGAACAGCCTCGGTGTTCTGCGCTGTGATGTTGGTGCGGGGACGGCGCGGGTGGGCAATGTTTTCGACACGCTCTCATCCTTTCTTAAAATCGTTACAACACTGCTTCACCCGAGCCCATGAAATGGTTCTTTCTCCGAACTTTGGAAGTAAACGGCGCCGAATTTCAGCAACATTTACATTTTCGTTGACGAGAAANAGTAGAACGATCAATAAGGAATATTACCTACAAGTTATGCGCAATTTGCGCGAAGCAATTCGCCAGAAACGCCCGGATTTGTGGAAGAACAAAAATTGGCTTTCGCACCATCATAACGTCCCTGCTCACACATAGTTGCTTGTGCGCGAATTTTTGACCAAAAACAACACACTAATGATGCCGCAGCCAACGTATTCCCCAGACCTGGCCCCCTGTGACTTTTTCTTGTTCCCGAAACTGAAGAGGCACATGAAAGGACGACGCTACGCTACGATTGAAGAGATAAAGACGGCATCGAAGGAGGAGCTGAACAAGATAACAAAAAATGATTTTTTGAAGTGCTTCGAGGGTTGGAAAAAACGTTGGCACAAATGTATAATATCTGATGGGGATTACTTTGAAGGAGACAAAATAGATATTCATGAATAAATAAATAATTTTTGAAAAAACACAAAATTCGCGATACTTTTTGAACAGACCTTGTATATTTAATCTACCCTCGTATTTAATTTAGAATCTTATAAAGTGAATTTTCACTTTTAAAGGAATTAATTTACACATTAATGACGCAAGAATATATAATATATTTACAGAATACATAATAACAAAGAAATGGAGCAATACTTCTTCTACAGAAGAAAATATTTCGTTCAATTTTATCTTAAAATAATATGTATTGTTGCATCATAATCGCGCTTTCGAATTATGAACTAATTTTTATAAAATGGCTAACCATGAGCATTTCCTCTCAGTTCTCAGTATTAAATATTAAACTTATTATTAACTGACATATTTAGCAAAAATGTTGCGTTTTATCTCCCTTATAAAATATGTATTAATATATATAAGAATTAAAAAACATAATAATTATACCAACTGATATTAATATGATGCCGGTACAACACTTTTATCGCATTCTATGTCCACCAATCTACTTCATAGTTAACTTCCTCGAAATTGCATCACTTATTTGCATCTCAAAATATCGTGGTGAGCTTCGTGGCGATATAGCAATATTCGACCATTATCATCAGCATGAAGTATCATATACAAGACACATTTTTTCAGAAAAATTTGGATGTTGTCAACCATTATGAGAATGTAACTTAGTACAAAAATCTAGGTCGAAAAAAGTTGTTTAGTAAAAGCTACCGTCATCTTGAAATCCTTGTAAATGATGGTACCTTTCTCGAAAACTATCAGAAACTATAATAAAGAAAATGTCGTAAAGAGTGAAACCACCATATTATTATCTCAGCGGAGCATCAATGAAATTAATAATTTCCATCACGACGTTCTTCATGATCTCGTCGTTGATTAGCAGAATATCGTTCAGTTTTGAATTAGACATTCCGATAATTTTCTCTGTGTGTGAACTTGTTCAGCCATGACGAATACTTCAATGATTAATACAAAAGTAAGCGGGCACTCTTGAATAGCATGCTCCCACGGCACTAATGTAAAACCTGCGATTAATACATTTGCTTATGTCATTTGAAGCAACCACGTCAAACCGCTATATAACTTCCACGCGATCGAAAATCGCGAATTGCACGGCGCGGGTAGCAGATTGCCGCTTATATAATTCAACTAAACATTCAGAAGGTTCACATTTTGAAAATCCATGTTCATAGAACAACGCTTCCTAATGCAGGTTTATATCGATTAATTAAGAAATTGTTATTTTCCTTTAAAATATTCACGTTTTCTCTGACAGAATTCAGTGGGACATGTGAACACTGTGGGGCGATCCAATATATTTTCACTTTTGTCTTAAGATTTTATTTTATCGTTATCCCTTTTCATTTAAACAAAGGTAAAAACCTCTTCTATCTTGATATCAAATGTTGTTTGGAACTATCGCTTGCAAGGAACTATCGATTTATGACTAATTATTATTTCTTTTGGGTTGATGCGTTTCTGACTATAGTTAACATTATGTCGTCCGGGGACACCACGTTGGTGTTCCGCGAAAACTATTGCGCAAAGGCCGACGACACCACGTTGGTGTCGTGCGCAAAACTATCACGCAAAGGCCGGTGACAGCACTGTGGTGCCGTTTGTGTTCTGATTGTGTACTGTTGGTGTTCTGTTTGTATTCTGTTTAAGTAATAATAAGTTACAGACATCATGATTCGATCGACAGACTTTCCGGTCAGTTGAAGCGACACCAGCTAATACAAATTTCCTAACCGACAAACGAAAACGAAGAAAGTGCTATGTATGTTCCAAAAACAAAAAAAGAAGGACAACAAATTTAATGTGTAAGTCTTGTGGAGTCGCGTTACACCTCGGAGATTGTTTTGCTTCATATAACCTAAAAGAGAAATACTAAGTACCCAATAAAATATTAATAAATAAATAAATATATAATACAAAAAAAATGTTATATTTATTTAAATATATCCTCAAAATTTCATGAAAGTAGCAGGACAGGATTGAAAACTAATGAGAACTGACGATTTATGATCTCCCGAAAACCTCGAAAAACCGCCGGCACCAAACAAAAAAATCCTGATGAAACGTGCGGACGGCAAAGTGTTAATATGTTATATCCTGTAAATCGAGAAACATTTAATTCCGTCCGATAATAGCTAAGAATACGAACGAAATGGGATATCTGTAATTTAGTGTTGTTTTCGCTACACAACTACAGAAATTTTGACGTGCCTTATTAGGAGATATAAGCGAACAATTTGATTTAAGGAAATATCACAGAGAATATTCAATCTGCAACAATTTATAGAACAGCAGACCTTTATCATTTAGACCCTCATAGCATCAAGTAGCTTTAAGCTTCCGTCTCATCATTTTCATCCGATGAAGCGGCAATTATTTTGTAGTCTCCTGCTAGACACTAGATAGTAAAATATGAAGACACAATGAAACAGTGTTTGACATCGTTGATATCACTCTATAAGTTTATCTCGTGAATGGGCTACCTGCTATATTTTCATACAAGGCAGATTAATTTTTAATGTTGGTCGTTATTTAGTCGTTATTTTTATTGATATTTGACAAACGATATTAATTTTATTTTAACTACTAATGAATCGATGAACTACTAATGAACGATCCTTGAAGTCATTATGATAAAAAACTTGGAAATGTATAATATAGTACGCCTACAAAGATTCAATTACTACAATTAATTTGATATCGACAATTTCTTTATATTTTCGTTAATGCTATACCTTTGTGACATTCAAATCACATTAACATTTATGTATATAAGTATAAATATCTAATAAAACTAAATTGTTATTTGTTAATTTATAATTAATTTTTTTATTAATTTACTGTCATAATCAGCTTGCGAAGCAGGTTTTAATTACATAAGATCGTATTTAAGACGTTTGCACAATCAATCCTTCATGGTATTTTTACCTATAGGAAGAGAAGAGCAATCGAGTACGATTGATTTAAGATCTGAAATACCACAGAAAAATTTGTCGACAATGACATAAAGTACGGAGTGTTGAATCACATATAGAATATGTAAGGGCATGGATAAGAGAATGAGATAGCGCCGTGCGAATTCGAGCCAGTCGCGCTGTTACTCTCTCACGCATGCCCTTACAGTGGAAATTCGACATACTGCTTTATATATTGATGCAGCACCTGTACAAATGTATGTAAAATGAGTTCTTACCGACATAAACGACGGTAATGACAGTTTGAATTTATCGTTCATCGAAATTTTGCACTCTAAACTATTTCCAATTATCATTAACATAAACGTTCGTTTTACGGACAATCCAAATTTATACCATTTTTCATGAAACGCTTCATCCGTCATGCCTCTGCTCTAAATCAAAGATAAAAAATTCATAAAGGATATTACAATTATTAAGGAATTATTTTTCTAACAGGAAATGTTAGAAAACCTAAAATATATTTAAAATGTATTTATATTAAAAGTTGAAACGACCCCAGTAGTAGAAACCCCAGTAGTAGAAACAACCACAGTTAATTTCATATTCGTTCTTGAAACATATTTAATACGGTTATGAAATACTACATATATTTAATGAACGTATATAAAACTAACATATGTTACTTAAGAATGCTTTCGTTTAAGAAAAAGGGAAGCTTACCGCGTCTTGTAATTGTTGCATGCAAGAGCACAATATGTAAAACTGCACTACAGAACCACATGTAAACATGACAATCGGTAAACTTTCTATAAATGTCGTTGATAGTACCTGCGGATACATAAGCAAAGATTTATCACTCATATGTACTGTACGGCACTGTACTGTACTTTGCACGAACGAACATTTATATAAACCGTGAAAAACGATCCGCATATAAAAATGTATATATATATTTACAAATTTATTTATCGTAATATTTTTACTTATAATACATAATCATAAAATAATTAAATTAATTGTGTTACTTACTGTGCTCAACATAATACCGATAAAACAAAACCGTAAGACGCTGTTCACATAAACCATACTGAAGCTCAAAGACAGCAATTTTTTTAGTATAGAAGATAAACTAAAACACAGCTCCAATATACAATAAAAAGTTTTGTTTAAATAACGATCTACTAAAATTTTTATGTTACTTTAACATGTAAATATGTTCAAAAAAGTACAAACATGTTAAATTAACATACCCACCTTGTATCAACATGTTATTTTTTAATATATCAATTTTATTAAAATAACGCAAAACATTCAATTAACCATTCAATTAACCAATATTTATACAAATTTTTTATTGTTTATGTACACATAAAATACGATTGAGCATATTTTGCCACTTAACATTTTTTTAATTTATGGAATTTTGTGGAGTAAATTTTAAAATTAATAATGAAAAAGGAAACAGTAGTTTTTATTTTGCTAAGATATTTCATATTATTATTATCTTCATTGAATATAGTACAGTATTAATCTGTGTTACACTGGACTATCACACACATACACACACACGCACACGCACACGCGCGCGCGCGCGCACGCACGCATATGTACACAATGAATTGATATATATTTAAACGATTGGACGATAGTTTATTGCTGTTGTTAAACTCGATTCTTCCACCGTTTACGGGAAATATAAATTAGATGAAAATTAGGTTTTTATGGGTTATCGTATAAAATAAAAAGAGAATTTAAATGTTTCTCAATTGAATAACCTAGATGCATGTATTCTCTTCCTTTTCCAAACATAGCTAGATATGAAACATGAGATATCTTCTGTTCTACTTACCATAGTACAGTAGTGTGATGCCGACACAACGCTTTTATTTCTTTCTCAACCCATCGATCTATATCGGGATAACATTGTTGCAGTTCACTTGGCAAATTTGCATCTCGAAATGTTGCGGCGAGTTTTTTGGCGATATAGCGATATTGCGCCGTTATCATCATCACAAGATATATCATGTAAATATCTACGCTGCCTTTTTTCAAAAAGATATACATGTTGCCGATTAGTATGAAGATGCTGCCCAATAGGAAGACTTCGGTCGAGAATGGCTGCTTGGAAAAGACCGCTGGTACTCTGTAATCCTCGTAACGGAAGGATATTTTTTCAGAGACTAACAGAAACGGTATGCAACACCATAGCAAGACAGACAGACCACCAGCCACCCAATAAAATTGGAGCGGAGCCTCCATAGGTTTGAGAGTCGTCTTCACAATGCTCCTCATGTTATTATCTTCGACACATAAGATGTCATTCAGCTTCCGAATAAATTGATCCACCAGTTCTTTGTGGCCGTAAATTCGCCCTACCATGAAGAACGCTTCGATGGTGACCACTACGATAACAGTGCCATCAATCAGAATTTTTTCCCGCGGTACCATGACGAGACCAGGAATCAGCACGCTCATTTGCACCATTTGAAGTAACCACATCAGGACACCGTACAATTTCCAACTGATTGAATATCGCGAGTCATCGGATTCCAAGGGCAACAGATTGCCCGAGAGGAAGTTCGCGCGAACGTTCAGGGAATTTAAGTTTCGGAAATCCATATTCGCAATGAGTACTTGTGAAAAAGTTGCTTTGGATTGCTGAGTAGATTAAAATTCCCTCAGTATATTAAAATCCCCTGACGCTCGTATATTCTAGATATACTTTGCTCGACTTTATCCGACTGTTAAAAAATATTTGATACCGAACACGCGAAGATAATGTTAGAGTCTTGTAAGTTTTCACATTTGTCTATCCCATACCATGTAAGTTTTCACTATTGTCTATTCCATATTCGTTATATGCGTTTCTCTCCATCGGAACAAACAAACATACTTTTTCTATCATGAGTCGAAGGTCGTTCGTAGTTAATTATCGATCTACAGCTATTTATTATTCTTTCTGAGTTGCTGCACTTCTGCTTGCCTGTCGTTAATATATAATGTGTTATTAAACGACGAATGCATTTTACTCAATTCGACAGCGACCCGGAATATTGACAAAGATAGTGTACTGCGTATCTCTTGATACACGACAACAAAAAATTTCCAGTTGTCCTATTATAAAATGCAAATGAAAGACTGAAAAATAGATAAATGTCGCTAAAGTGGACATGACAATTTATTGAGAAGTGGATGTACGTCATTTTGTTTATCATAGAAAATTGAGGCTAAAAGCCGTTTTCTCTAATCATTCTTGCTCGTCAAAATATCAATTATCTTATAGTATTTTGTTGGAAGTTGCAGAGCAGTATTCAAAGATACCATGAAACCTCGCGCTGTCTGACGTCGCTGATATGAGTCAGGAGTTGATCTAAAATAATCTACAATATGCTACTACAAGATGCTTCAAAACTGCTTTCATTATTTGCATTTGGACTACTGGCAGTGACTCCGTATATCGCAGGACAAACCTTAAGGTTGGTTGTTATTTTTATTATCGGGAACATGTTAGTTACATTTTCATGAAAGATCTTTGGAGTTAATGGTCATATCAAGTTGAACATATTAATTTTCGTTCAATCACTGAAGGTAAGCATGGAAGATCTTTGGATAAATTAGAACCTAAAAAATTATAAGAATATAACACAGATATCACGTGTAAAGATGTAATTTTTATATTTAATTTAATATCGGCAATTATATAGTGTCCAAAATGTTCGGAGATGGTTGAATATCTCGAAAAGTATGTATTTTTGAGAAAAATATTTCATACAAAAATTATACAGTCTAAAATGTTCTATTTACTGATTCGATTAGTTTGATATTGGGTGCTGTCGCTAAGGTCAGGTCGAGATCACATTGACTTTTTTAAATGGAACATCCTATTTTATATTCCAAAATCTAATAGCTGGTGACAAGAGCTTTTCAGAACACTAACAAAGTTCATTTTCATTAAGCATTTTCGAGTTATGAGGCTTAAATATTAGAATAACGCCGGAATTAACATTATTCAAGATGTATGTATCAAGCAGAGATTGCCCGGTCGGATTTATACTTCTTTTGTATGCCTGCGTATGTGTGTGCGTGCGTGTGTGTATGTGTGTGTGTGTGTGTGAATATGTGTGTGTGACTGTGTGTGTCAGTAGAGATAAAGACCCCCCGCTTTGTCACTCCCGTACACTGAGAAAAAAATTTTTTCATATCAAAGAAATATAATTTTTTGAAATGTATTTTTTCGATATATAACAAATTTTTTATACAAATCATCATATGCCACAGTCAACATTCGGAATGCGTCCGCGCACTTAATTTTGTTAGATTCTTTGATCCATTTTTTGGAATAGGCAAAAATCGAAGACGAGCCAAAACACGAGTCCAAACAAAACAGATGTTAAGAGTTTAACTGAATATTCAAAATGGCCGAACTTGTCGGCATAAGTGAGGGACATGAGTACCAACATAACGCCACAAAAAAATCGAAAATCGAATATACGTAACCCGCGGAAATTCAAAATTCGCGATACTTTTTTAACAGGCCTCGTATATGCAGAAATTTGGGTGTTGAACACTTTTCATTATAATATTTGTGTTCTCGATACATCTTACTCATAAAAAAATTTATATACTAAAAGTAACTATAATAGTATTGGGTTGGCAAATAAGTCCGTTCGGTTTTTTTGACTGGTATAAAATACAATTTATTTAATATACAAAATATATACTAATCAATAATGTATTCACCATTCTTTTCTATGACTTCTTGCCATCTTTTTACCAATTTCCAAATCCCACATTCATAAAACGTCTGAGGTTTACCGGCAAAAAACTGATCCAGTTGCGTTTTAACAGCTTCATTATTAGCAAAGTTTTTCCCGTTCAGAGAATTTTGCAGCGACCGGAACAAATGATAATCAAAGGGTGCCGGTAAATAAAGAGGGTGAGGCAAAACATCCCAGCCAAGCCTTAACAATTTGTTCCGAGTAGTTAATAAAGTATGGGGTCTGGCATTGTCGTGGTGCAAGTCGACTCCTTTTCGATTTGCCAATTCTGGACGTTTCGAACGTATTGCTTGACTCATTTTCGTTAATTGGGAGCAATATACAGTTGAATCGATAGTCCTGCCTAATGGTAAGAGCTCGTAATAAATGATATCTTTATAATCCCACCACACTGAGAGCATAATTTCTTCGGGTGCAATCCTGCCTTCGAGGTTGTTTGTGGTGGTTCACTGCTGCTTCCCCATGATCTTTTACGTACTACGTTATCGTAGACGATCCACTTTTCATCTCCCGTAACTAACTGCTTCAAAAATGGATTGGCGTTTTAGCAGCGCGTCGCAGATGGAAATGCGAGCGGTTAAGTTGGCCTCGGTCAATTCGTGCGGCACCCAAACATTGAGGCGAGAAACATATCCCAACTGACGCAAATGGTTTTCTACACTTGTGTGGGATATACTAAATGTAGCAATCTTTCGTACTGTTTGCGATAGATTTTTGTCAACGGTATTCTTTATTACAGCTGAATCAATCTCTGCTGGACGACTAGAACGGGACGCGTCACTAACATCAAAATCTTCAGAACGGAATTTGGCAAACCATTTTTGACACACACGTTCTGTTAAAGCATCGTCCCCGTACACATTACAAATCTTCTTATGAGCTTCCTCGTTTGCCTTTTTTGAAATAAAAAAGTAAAATATGGCGAAAATGGACGTTCTTTTCTTCCATATTTGCAACCGTGCAGTACGCACAATATTCTGGTATTAACCGGCGTATATTTACAAACAGATTAGGTGGAACGTCGCTTTTCAGCTGCGCAGGCGCGTTGTGCGATAGCGCTGTGGAAAAGAGATAGCAGAACGAGTAAACCTACTTCGATTAAAAAACCGAACGAACTTATTTGCCAACCCAATAAATACAATTTTATTAAAATTAACAATATTAAAGTGCAGTATGTAGAGGATGGATTATGGTAAAATTGTAAAGAAATAAACTTATTCCTGACCATTTAAGAAAGGACTTGGAACATTTGCAACAACGTAGCTTTCTGTCTTATTTCACCTGTTATCATGCAGCAAATAGATTCGATTAATAAAAATTAAACTTAAACATCGTTATACTTAGCTTATAAGAATGAACCTTCTACGATATTTTTGTGGAGATATTATCAACCCTTCTAACTTTGCTTGTCAGTCCTTTCTTTTTCGAGAGTATGCAAGTTTTACCAGGTGTAGAAGTGTGAAACCGGAATTTCCCTATAAATGGTGCTAGCCATCAGTTTAGGGACCGTAAGACCGCTTCTGCAGCGCCATCATCTAACAGCTGATGAAGATTTTCAACACACAACAACCCAAGTTCCATACACCGGTATATTTTTNAGGCAACACAATGTCATTTTGCTCTATGACAATGCCCCATCACACACAGCAAAACGAGTCAGGGAAACGATCGAGACGTTCAGTTGGGAAATACTAACGAATGCGGCTTATTTTCCAGACTTGGCTCCGTCCGATTATCATCTATTCGCTTTAATGGAACACGTTCTCGCTGAACAACGCATCAATTCGTATGAAAATGTACAAAAATGGCTCGATAGCTTGTTCGCTTTAAAAGAAGAGATGTTTTTTGGCGTGGCATTCATAAACTGCCGGAGAGGTGGGAAATATGTATAAATAGCAATGGACATTATTTTGAATAAAATATTTTTTATCATTTTCAAACAACAGACGTGTAATTTTTACAAAAAATTTCCGGTTTCATACTTCTACACCTGGTATAAATATATCCGAGGGTGGATCAAATATGAACGAGCCTTTTTAAATTGCGCGCCCTTCGGCGGAATAAGGGGTCTGCAACGTTTTGGACAGTGGAGGGGGGTCATGTGGAAGGCAGTAATAAAGTTAGCGCGCCACGTGCTTCTTACTCTCTGCAGCAATCACGATGAGTGAGAAGGAGATACTCTCCGCAGTTGCACATCGTGTTATTATTCTCGTCAACGAAAATGTAAATGCTGCTGAAATTCGGAGCCATTTACTCCCACAGTTCGGGGAAAGAACCCTTTCATGGGTCTGGGTGAAGCAGTGGTGTAACGAATTTAAGAAAGGACGGGAGCGTGTTGAAAACATTGTCCACCTACGCTGTCCTCGCATCAGCATCACAGCGCAAAACACCGAGGCTGTTCGAGAACTCATCAGAAGCGATTGACACTTAATTGTTCTTGGAATCTCTCAGGAACCTCAGTTCGAGCTGCCTATCGGAGAAAAAGGCGCGGCTTTCCGATTAGAAGTATGTTGCTTCTCCATGACAACGCCAGACTCCACACCGCAGCAGTAACACAACAAAAATTAGCTGATATGCACTGGGCTGTCCTAGAACATCCACCCTATAGCCCACACCTGTCACCATGCGACTTCCATATGTTTGGACCACTCAAGGACGCCCTTGGTGGACAGCGCTTCACACGAAAGAAGAGGTGCGGCAATTCGTGTGCAATCGGTTTGATACATGTTCGCGAACTTTTTATGATACCGGGATTAAAAAATTACTAGACCGTTGGAGGAAATGTATAGATGGGGGACTACGTAGAAAAATAAGAAAAATATAAATTAGAAATGATTTTGA